GAGGAGCAGGAATTACAAGAAACAGCTAGAGATACGTTAGGATGTTGAATTAACATCTCTTTTCCTTCCTTTAAACCTGAGAAACTGCAAAGTGTCCTTTCCACATAGTTGGGGAACATGTACTTAAAGGCAAAACTGTTACTTACAGATCCACATTACTATGTGAAACCATATGGCAAACTGTCTGCCTTGGTGATTACAAACCCTGGTTTTATGGCACCCTAGGGCTATCATAAAAATCTGAAAATTATTTTTAATTAAAAAATGCATAGTAGCCTTGATGTAAAACATTCTCTGCAGAGCAGAATTCTTCTTAAAGGAGAACTAACTAACCTCTCTGTGGATGTGCATTGTACCATGGAAACTTTATTTTAACATCATTCATCTATAGAAGCAATATTGAACTCAGGAGTAAATTATTTATCAATCAGCAGATTATGGACTATATCAGTGTTTGAATGTATTGATGGGAATTAGGCCAGGAATAAAATACTTAATTTTATACTTTAGTCAAATTTCTTTTATCATCATTCTCACTCAAAATATTCAAAATATACTATTTCTTGAGAGGAATATGCAATTGTAGACCACAGAAATTATGTTACATTTGTACCTATCAGTTATATGAAGTCAGAGTACAAGTAATTTGACCTTTATTTGTGTTATAATGTTAAGGAGAATTCCTGTAGACATTTTACACTTCTCAAGTGAATATTAATTTTATTGTTTTTACTTTAAGCAAACCTTGGTAATAATAAAATAAAAAGCAAAATAGTCTTTAAGTTGTCTGTATGTGTGTATACACGAATACACTCTATATACACACATATACACATGTGTAAGTATGTGTATATGTATGTTATATATATATATATATATGGGGAGAGAGAGAGAGAGAGAGATTAGTTGTTGATCATGCGTCTTGAATGCAGGGCCTGGGCACTGTCCCCAAAAATTTTTGCTCAAGGCTAGTCCTCACCATTTTGAGCCATAGATCCACTTCCAGTTTTTAGGTGGTTCAATGGGGATAAGACTCGCAGCCTTTTTTGTCCAGGCTGAAGATCCTCAGATCTCAGCCTACTGAATAGCTAGGATTGCAGTTGTGAGCCACTAGCACCCAGATCTCATATATTTTTAATACCTTTGAAATTACAGATAGAGGATTCCTAACCTATTGTATGATTTATATTTTTTCCTTAAGATGAGCAGAGGAAAGAACTTTGAGACAAGTATTAGATTAACCCACACATGTGCTGTCAAGCTGTACTGTGATTTTCTCTATTTCAAATTCATGAATTAATAAGGAGAAATACAATACGTAGGCACTAAAGACCATGATTGTACAGAATTATCGTTCTTTTGCAGTTCATTTCTAATAGCTATACAAAGATTACTTGAGCTTCGAGAATTCTCAAACAAATCTTTAAGAACACCACTCCTGCACTGAGAACCTCATTCTGCAATTCCTAAGGCACTTTGCTCCCATTATTCACTCATCCACTCAACCATCCACCAGTTAAACAAACACTAAATGTCTGCTTCTACTGATACTCTGCTCGACACTGGAAATTTAAAATAAACACAGTCGCTGCCCCTGAGGTAGATCCGCGAAGTCTGAGATGGCACACGTGAAAATAAACAAGATGCATAAGTTACTGTAGAACCTATTATAAAAATGCATGCATTATAATAGAGAATAATGTAGATAATACTCATTTCAAGACTTGAATAATGACGCTCCTAGATAAAAAAAAATGGTATTGACACTGAAAAATGAAATAAACAGAAGAAAGAGTGGGTGAAAGTAAGCATAACTAAGTAAGAAAAAATCTTAAAAGTTTTAACTTATTATTATCTTTAGTAGTTGCAAAGGGGTAACCATTTAACAAATTAGTTTACCATGCATCATGATAGATATAAATTCATTCAACATTATCTTTCTCAAACTTTATTTATTTCTCAAACTTCATTTATTTATTTATCTACCTATCTATCTATCATCTGTGTGTCTCTCTCTCTATATTTGTTTATTTTTTTGCTGCCAATCTGGGCCTTGCACTGGAGTCCTAAATGTTTTCCTTGAGCTTTCATGCTCAAGAGTAGGGCTCTACCATTTCAGCCACAGCTTCACTTTCAGCTTTTTTGTTGTTGGTTAATTGAAGATAACAGTCTCACAACATTCCTGCCCAGGCTGGCTTTGAACCACACTCCTCATCTCTCAGCTGACTAGATAGGGCTGTTTGGAGTGGTTAACCTAAGGTAAGAGTTTCAGGGACTTTTCTACCTGAGCTGGCTTCTAGCTATGATTACTTAGACTCCTAAGTAGCTAGATTACAGGCTTGAACCACTGTTGCACTGTTGCCTAGCTCTACCTGAATTTTTTTCAAAAAGGAGGAAAGAAGGGAAGGAAGAAAGGAAAGAAAGAAAGAAAAGAAACAAAACAACAAAAAGTTTTCTTTTTGATGAAATTAAAGGCAGAAAATGTTCTTGGCCACATCTTAAAATTTTTCTATATAAATTAAAGAACTGGCAAATTCTTAAATGCCAAATTTTATGTTAAATACACTGCCGTTATGCAACATGTATTTTTATTTCTGTAAAAATAGAAAAATCTAAATTCCATAGGTTGTTAGATATTAAGTATCTCAGTCATGAAATATCAGTGATAAAAAAATTCTAATTTTTATGGCTCTAGTAAAATTGCCGGTAAACTGCATGGCTTTGTAAACAACAACTCTGGAATATGACTTTGTGCATCAATGCTACACTTATTGAAAATTAAATCCACATGTGAAGCTCATGAATTTTTAACGGTTTTTAAGCAGTAGGCCAAAAATGCAATGGAATTCTCCCAACTGGAGGTCTAAGAGCCAAATACTGGGTCAAAATAGGATGAAGAGAACAGAATAAGATTGTTTTCAGAAATGTTCGCCATCATTTTAATGTTTCCTTAGATAATGACACATATTCTGATAGTTTGTATCAAAGTCAGCATCATGAATGTGGAACAACTATTGTTAATAATTCTTTTACCAGTCAGATTTGGCCATTGGATATATTTATGCACATACTTACAAGGCAACAGAAAAGTAGTGGTGGTCATTGTGCTTGCTGGGAGAGCTAGGAAGCAGGGTGGGCAGCATTGCATCTCATACCCTTGCTGCTGGTCAATCAACTAACAGATGGTGCAAAATGGGAGCCAGGATTGCAGGCATTCCAGATTCTCATGAATCTACTGCTTCTTTTAGGTCAGATGAAAAATATTACTTCGTTTTACATAATACTCTATAATCTAGCTGGGAGGTAGTGAGAAACACAGGTAGAATCCTACTTGTCCTGAGGATTACAATTGTCCCTACTCATCCCAAGCATTTGTTTGTTATTATTTGCTTGTTTTTCATACTAACCAGGGCTGGAACTCAGGACTTTGTGCTTGGTAGGTAGGTACTCCACTGCTGGAATGACATTTCTAGCTCTTTTTTTTCCTGTTGAGTACATTGGATTTCCATGATGATGATGATGATTAATTATTAATTATTTGATTGTTTTGCCATTGCCACCCTAGAACATGATCTCCTGTGTATGCTTCTTGCATAACTGGGATAACACCATGTTCAGCTTTTCTCTGTTAACATGATCTCTTGAACTTCTTACTTGGGCTAGCCTGGGACACGTATTGACTTAATTGCAGTTTACCATCAGGCTCAGATAAAAGGTGTGTGCATAAATGCACTTAGCTATTGGTTGAGAACGGGCCTTCATTGTATGGCATTGAACCACCATCCTTTGTCTATACATTTCTAGTAATGAGGACTGCAAGTCTAAGCCACCTGATCATACCTTTTTAGCTTTTCATTTTGACCCCTGGCATTGCTGATCTATAGTAACTTCCTGCTCTCATCAGGGGCAGAGTTCACAACTGTGTGGTAGCAGATTGCACATGCCGTTTCCCCTATGATCGGCCCTATTATTATGTCTCATTGGTTTTCTCAGATGTGCAAACCTCCCATGATGGGGAATTTCATAACGGAAAGGAATCCAAGGAACAGAATTTTATGAAATAATTTTCTGAAATAGCCTTGGGCTATCTGGAATTGGTTATTTGATATAATTATATTTTAAGACATTAATGATCCCAGAAATAGTGTTAGTAAAGATGCTGTTCATCCATAGCAATAAAGTATTACCTATAGATGTACTTGTGTGATCTGATGATAATAGAAAGAAAGTTGGGTGCTTTTTTTGGAAGATGTATTGCTACCACATAACTTTTATGAGTTTTGCCTATAGTTTTCTAAGTATAGCACTAGAGGAAAGTAAATAATAATTCAATTTTATGCTGGACAAAGTGGCTACTCAGAAGGTAGAGATTGGGAGAATGATGTTATACTACTAGCCCAGGCAAAAAGTTAGAGAAATATTATCTAAACAAGGCATGTGCCTGCAATCCTACATACACTAGAAATTATAGCATGATGATTTTGGAGGAAAATATGTCAGAAGCTGGCTTAGAACTCAGAAACAATAGCTAATGCCGAAAAGGACTAAGGCTGTAGCCCAAGTGGTAGAACACCACAAGCCTGAATCCCTGAGTGCCAATTCTAGTATCAAAGATATACACATTCCAAACTCAAATTCATGCTCTTCAGATGTATGAGAGCTTCTAGCAAAAGAAAGCACATATGGAACTCAGACTGAGAAGATGTAAAGAAATTATACTGGTCAGGAAAGAAATTAATGACACTGAAACAAAAAAACCCCAGAAAAGTCAGTGGAAGAAAATATGGTTGAAAATGAATTACACAAACACACACATATATGCATATATGTATGTAGATATGTATCTACTATATGTAGTATATATACACATATACATGTATACATGCATATATATGTATATATACATATGAATGTATGTATCTATATATACATACATATATATTGCTAGCCCATGGTTAACTTCAGTAAATGCTGTTTGAAATATTAAGAAAGAGGAGTCGAGCCCGTCTCCATGTCCGCGGGGAGCGCGACACATCCTGGAGCTGGCGGGCGCCGCAGCAAATGGGACCAACCGGCTCCTGCTCCCCTTCTCTTTCTCCCGCCAGCGGCCCCGGGTGGAGAGGTCACCAGTGGGGGAACTCCTGGGGGTGCCACGGCTGCTCCCTCAGGAGCATTGGATGCCGCTGCAGCTGTGGCTGCCAAGATCAATGCCATGCTCATGGCCAAAGGGAAGCTGAAACCAAATCAGAATGCTGCCGAGAAGCTTCAGGCTCCTGGCAAAGGCCTAACTAGCAATAAAAGCAAAGATGACCTGGTAGTTGCTGAAGTGGAAATCAATGATGTGCCTCTCACATGTAGGAACTTGCTCACACGAGGACAGACTCAAGATGAGATTAGCAGACTTAGTGGAGCTGCTGTGTCAACACGAGGGAGATTCATGACTACTGAGGAGAAGGCTAAAGTGGGACCTGGGGATCGTCCTTTGTATCTTCATATTCAGGGCCAGACACGGGAATTAGTGGACAGAGCTGTAAACCGAATAAAAGAAATTATCACCAATGGAGTAGTGAAAGCAGCTACAGGAACAAGTCCGACTTTTAATGGTGCAACAGTCACTGTCTATCACCAACCAGCACCCATTGCTCAGCTGTCTCCAGCTGTTAGCCAGAAGCCTCCTTTCCAGTCAGGGATGCATTATGTTCAAGATAAATTATTTGTGGGTCTAGAACATGCTGTGCCCACTTTCAACGTTAAATAGAAGGTGGAAGGTCCAGGCTGCTCCTATTTGCAGCACATTCAGATTGAAACAGGTGCCAAAGTCTTCCTACGGGGCAAAGGTTCAGGCTGCATTGAGCCAGCATCGGGTCGAGAAGCTTTTGAACCTATGTATATTTATATCAGTCATCCCAAACCAGAAGGCCTGGCTGCTGCCAAGAAGCTTTGTGAGAATCTCTTGCAAACAGTTCATGCTGAATACTCTAGATTTGTGAATCAAATTAATACTGCTGTACCTTTACCAGGCTATACACAACCCTCTGCTATAAGTAGTGTCCCTCCTCAACCACCATATTATCCATCCAATGGCTATCAGTCTGGTTACCCTGTTGTTCCCCCTCCTCAGCAGCCAGTTCAACCTCCTTATGGAGTACCAAGCATAGTGCCACCAGCTGTTTCACTGGCACCTGGAGTCTTGCCAGCATTACCTACTGGAGTCCCACCTGTGCCAACACAATACCCGATAACACAAGTGCATCCTCCAGCTAGTACTGGACAGAGTCCATTGGGTGGTCCTTTTCTTCCTGCTGCTCCTGTCAAAACTGCCTTGCCTGCTGGACCTCAGCCCCAGCCCCCACTCCCAACTCAGCCCCAGTCACAGAAGAGACGATTCACAGAGGAGCTGCCAGATGAACGGGAATCTGGACTTCTTGGATACCAGCATGGACCCATTCATATGACTAATTTAGGTACAGGCTTCTCCAGTCAGAATGAGATTGAAGGCGCAGGATCGAAGCCAGCAAGTTCCTCAGGCAAAGAGCGAGAGAGGGACAGGCAGTTGATGCCTCCACCAGCCTTTCCAGTGACTGGAATAAAAACAGATTCTGATGAAAGGAATGTGACCGGGACCTTAACAGGGAGCCATGATTATCCAGCCAAGAAGATGAAGACTACAGAGAAGGGATTTGGCTTAGTAGCTTATGCTGCAGATTCATCTGATGAAGAGGAGGAACATGGAGGTCATAAAAATCTGGGTCAAAGAAACTACTTGACTTTTTTAAAGCTGGTCAGAACTCATCACAGAAATGAAACACAGTGGTCTGTCTCTCTGAGAACTGGTTGCAGCTAAAATAGATTGGACAACGCTCAATAGGATGGTGGACTTAGTGACTGAAATTGCAACTTGTCCTTTTTTCTTGGCATTACAGGTTTTGCCAAAAGAACTTTTTTGTATCAAATATTGATGTGTAAAAGTGAAGAAGCTAGTCTGCTGAACCAGAAGTAGTTTGAGATACTGAACTGTCATTTTTGCACATTTGAATACTTTGCAGGCTGGCTTTGTACAAACTTACCCTCTGGTTTCCTATATGTTGTAAATAATTATACCATAATTTCATTATAAATAAATGTATAAATATTCAAAAAAAATAAATATTAAGAAAGAAAGAAGAATAAAGAACATGCTGGAAAGGTTGTACTGTATGTGTATATGGAAATATCAAAGTAAAATCCCTTTATACTACAAGCTTACACTGATTCAAAAGTAAAACTGTTGCACTTTGACACAGGGATGTGAGCCTTGAATGTTTTCAGAAAGAGCCATTGATACATAATCTATAATAATTTAAAAATCTCTATATAACAAGAGATGTGACATACACAAAATAAAAGACAATATCATTTTTGGCATAAGGGAGAAAAAAAATGTTGGACGGATTTCTGATTAGTATGCACAAAGCTCTGGCAATGACCTTGAGCAACCCAAACAACTACTACAGCCCCAGAATTCATATATTGGGTGCTCGGGGAGCTTATTGGAATCTGAGGGCTCTGAACTAATAAAGAGATTAATCATTTATTAGATTTATAAGTCATCATTCATTCAGTGATGGTAGAAAGTAGGAATTGGGGTATCTGAAGGATGTGGGCCATCAGGCCATGTTTTTGGGCTATGCTTTTCCTTACCCCTTCCTGTATTTCCTTGCCTCTGCATTCTCCCCAGTAGAAGGTTCTAAATTTTCCTGCTCCATGATGTTCCGCTTCACCATCAGCCCAGAATCCAGGGCCCAGAACTATGGAAGACAAAGTCTAAAACTCTGAGCACAAACAAGGAATTCTTTCCTTCCATTTTTTTCTGAAGTATTTTTTCCCAGCTACAGAAAACAAATGGCTATCACAAAAGTAATAGGAAAAGAAGTAAAGCTATCTCAAATCATTGACGTTATGTAAGTCACACAGGAACCATCCAATGATAAAACTCAAACAACAGAACGTGAATCCGTAATTTTATATAAAGGAATAATAACCAGACAGTATAAAATGGCAGCAACCTATAATATGGAGTGACAATATTTAGAAATAAAAATAATAAATGCACAAAAATAAATATGAGACCATGAAAGGAAAAATATTTACATGAGATATAAAATTATTATACATGAATCGCTAATTTTATATGAATGAATAATAATCAGACTATAAAATGGCAGCAACCTATAATAGTAACATGAAGTGAGAATATTTATAAATAAAAATGATAAAGGCACAAAAATAAATATGAGACCATGAAAGGAAAAAAATATTTAAATGTATAAAAGGTACAAAATCAGAGTTGCACACACATAAAAACATTCCCTCATTTTAGACCATATACAAACATGATAAAGTTCTAATATTTTCTAGAATGCAAATGAAAAGAGCAGTGAGCTATTTTTTGTTGAGCTAAATAAAAATATATAAAGAAAAACAAAAACATTCAAATATAGAACAGGAAACAAATTAAAGAAAACCTATCTATGAAGGGATTTATTATCCAGGCATTAAAATAGGCTAAATTTCTTCCTAAAATATTGTTCTTTTCTTTAATTCTAGCTACTCATGAGGCTGAGGTCTGAGGATCACAGTTTAAAGCCAGCCCATGCAAGAATGTTTGAAAGCCTCTCATCTCCAAATAAGCACAAAAGAATCAGAATTGGAGCTGTGATTCAAGTGGTAGAGTACTAGATAATAGAGCTGTGGTTCAAAGTGCAAAGAGCAAAGAGCAAAAAACTTAGGGACAGTGCCCAGACCCTGCCTTCAAACTCCAGAGTTGGCACAAACACACACAAAAATTCCATCCTAACATATGAATATAAAGTTTAAAATGGAATTTATAATAAAAATAGGTTTACTGCACTATAAATTGCATAAACATAATATTTTAAAAATTATTTATTGTTTCTCACTTATAAATGAAGATTTAAAATAACAAATGTTTATTTCATTGGCAAAATAGAATATAATATACACATATTATTAAGATGTGATTATTTTACTCATATTCAAACATCTTTCAGTGTCCTGAAGTAGAATTTGTTATTCAAATCTATATAATTACATTACTATAAGATTTAATAATTGTACACCTATATAGCCTTGAAAAAGTTCACATTGTCAATTGGTGATTTCCATCCCCAAGGATAGCAGTGATAGCTTATATGTTATGCCCCATTTGTGAATTTATGTGTGAATTCTGGGTTGTATTCTAGCCTAACTGCTTAAAAGTTATGGGAATATCAATGTAGCAGATAATTAAATGTGTACAGAATGTATTAATATGTATAATTAAGATAAAACATCATTGGAGTTTATTAGGAAATTATAGTATCCTATAATCATTCTAAAAAGCAGTGCTTGTCATATTGTATTGCTTAATTATGGCCAAGTACTTCATATAAGTGGAAGTTGCAATGATTAAAATAATTAGTATACAGTTAAGCCAAGTTATAAAAGTTGTAATAAAAATATTAGCACACTAAATGTGCGTATAAGGACTAGATTTCAACATGCAATATTTCCTTAGAAATGGTTCAGATTTATTTCATTGCACTGTTCTGTATTAGCATGAGATGGCAGTGCTCCTTTCCATTTTCTAATTAGTGCAAGATTTTGTAAAATAATCTTATCTGCTTTATAATTGCTCAATTGAAATGGAAAATTATAAGAAGCATATCTCTATCATCTATCTAACTATCTATCTAATGTTACTTAAAGGGTATGTAATATGCTTGTGCCTCAGTATCTTTCCTGTGCAAAATAGTAATTATGCTAAGAAGGATCGACCATGAAACTAAATTATCAATATTATGTATGATATATAATAAAATAGTGAATGTCTGCTATTATTGTTACTGTATTGCTGCTGATTTGCTGGACTGCTTTTCAAAAGCTCACTTCATTTGTATCTGCTTAGAACCCAGAAAATGACATTCTCCTGCCTTACTGATTTAATGTCCCTGGGATGCGTGTCTCCCTCTCAGCAGTATGACTAATGGAATATGGAACTTGAGTGGTTTTTGAAGTTGGGTCTACAAATGGTGTGTGAAGTAAATGATTGCTAAAATAATTTTTCTTCATTTGTGTCATGGTCTGTTTTATAGAAAGAATAGGAGAGCTCACAGGCCATCATTTGTCTTCTGAGACTCACTCTTAAGCTAAAATCTGATGCTGACATTTGTCTTGTTTTCAGTGATTATCAGAAGGGTCTATGAATTCCAGTCATCTCCTCTCCTGCGTTATCAATATTCCTCATCTACTAGTGTTTCCAACAAAGGTGGTCTTTGTAGCTGCAAGCTTGGAGATAGATTTGAAGAAAATAGTACAGTGCACAAATAAGGCATGAATGTATATTTGGGGAATATTCCTCAAATATGTGAGAAATGGTATTAGAAAATGTGCAGGATAAGCAAAGAAGTTTAAATGTTTGTTTCCTAGTGTATTTGTCTACACAATGAGCCTGAAGAGTAAAAGCAAGTTGCCTAGCATATACCATTGCACTTCCCTTGCTAAACCAACCTGGAAAGAACTTTAGGAGCATAGTGCATAGGTTTAAGAAAGGAAATTGATATGCTTTAGCTCTCTTCCATTTTTCATTGCCCAGATAAGTTCCAACACCTGTCTACTCTCCGGGAATCTATGGAGTGAGTCATGGATCCTCTCTGGTTCCCTGAACACGTCTCTGGCCCTATCCCGATGTGGAAAGCTGGATTCAAGTCTGGGAGAGAAGCGGGGAAACTAGAAGTAAGGCATTAATACAGTGGAAGATCAAGACTGTATAAATAAGCTCTTGGCTCACATCTTAATACCCACCACGCCCAACACATTCTGGGTTACTTTAATCCTTAGATCACATGGACCTGAGGGTTTCCTGAAACCACTAGAAGGCTTCAGTATCATTTGGTTTTGTTGTTGTTTTTTGTTTTATTGTATCGCTCTACATCTAGTTCTGATTAAATGCTAAAGAAATTTATTTGTATATAAAGTCAAACATGTCATAAAACACAATTAGACTTGTTTGTACTGTAAAGAATATATCAAAATATCATGACATATGGAGATAAACTCTTCTAGAGGCAGACCAACTTTACTAAGCAACCAAACAAGGACAATTCCTAAACCTCAGGCCTTCACATTAAATTTAGCAATTCTGACATTTAAGATTTGCATATTAAAAACCCATAGAAAATTAAACCCATGGAATCTTGACAACATTCTCAGTTTTGGATTGCAAGGTCTGAAGACTCTCTGAAGAATACTTTCTATTCTAGAGCTTTTCTTAAAGATGTTTGGTAGAACCAAAGAAATACCTACAGTTTAATCAAAGCCAGTACCTATGGTACCTGCCCTGGTGATGTGTTTAGAACTAAAAGTTCAAGGATGTTCCTTGTTTGTGTCAGGATATTAAATTGGAACTATTTGTTACTGGCATGTTTGCCACAGTAGAAAATGTTCATCTATTTTGGCTTGAGGTTGCACATTAGGGAAACAAACATGATTTAATTTCATTTAACAATGTGCATTGGTAAGAGGGACAATGGGAATTTTACCAAATTGGATATTTTCATAGGACTCAGCCTACCAACTTGGAAACCAATGGGATATATTTTCTTTAATGAGAACATGTTTTCCTGTAGTGAATTTTTATAGCATGGAAATGGAGATATCATTGCTTAGAAGGGATGGGGAAGACCTCTGAGATCTCAGCTCTTTTGATTTGAGACACCATTAACCACTAAATTAATGCAAATATAGCTTAATGAAATGTTGCTCATACACTGATCATAAAATATCCCTACAAAATACCACTCTGCA